CCAGCTGACTGTGATTGGCCATTAATTAGAAACAACCACATGAGACCAATCACAGATGTACCTGTTGCATTCCACAGCAGCAGATAACCATTGTTTGCATTTTGTTCCTGAGGCCTCCCAGCTTCTCAGGAGAAAAAATCCTAAGGAAAGGATTTTCCATAAAATATGTCTGCGACAATCACCGGCCTTGGAAGGACATGAAACTCTCCCTTTTTCAGGCTTTGCTGCAGAAAACCTGGAATTGTTTGGTTCAATTGTTTGGTTTTGTTTTAAAGTATGAATGTTTCTTAGTGATTTGAGCTCTGACTTGAGCTGATACCAGATCATGCAGTACAATTGCTCAGAGCTCAAGGGCAAGATGTAAGTTCCCCTATGGGTTTGGGCTCCTTTGAACCCAAAATTGTCATTTCTGGAATGAAACAAGCCTAAATCTGGCATGAGGACACTCTGAAATCCCAGAATTCTGAAATAGTTGGAGTTTGTGGCTCCTCAGAGCCGAGGTGACGATGAAGCAGGAGCAGGTTTCTGAGTCTGGGCGTAAATGAGACAAGGAAATTTTATAAAGATGCCTGCAGTGGGGTGGGGCAGCCTCGCTGGGCGCTGTAACTGAGTCTCTCTTGGACAGGTAGAATTGGAAGGTCTCACCGGCCACATCGAATTCAACAGCAAAGGCCAACGCTCCAACTACGCCCTGAAAATCCTGCAGCACACCCGGGGTGGCTTCAGGCAGGTGAGAGCAGCCAGGGAGGTGTCCTGGGCTCAGGGGGGACCAAAAGGAGCTCTGGACCCCTGTGGGATTTTCTGGGGTCCCCCATGGCAGGAAGGAATGAATCTGACTCCATGTTCTTAGAAAGCTAATTTCTTATTTTATTATATTATATATTATATTAATATGATATTATACTATACTATATTATATTATACTATTTTATATATCATACTATACTATACTATACTATATTATATTATACTATACTATATTACATTACATTGCATTATATTATATTATACTAAAACTATACTAAAGAATACAGAAAGGAAACAGACAGAAGGCTAAAAGATAATAATGAATCTTGTGATTCTCTCCAGAGTCCAACACAGCTGGACAGTGATTGGTCATTAAGTAAAAACAATTCACATGAAATTAATCAAATAATGACCAGCTGGTAAACAAAGTTCAATCACATTCCAAAGCAGCAAAACACAGGAGAAGCAATCAGATAATTATTGTTTTCATGTCCAAACCACATTCCAAAGCAGCAAGACACAGGAGAAGCAAATCAGATAATTATTGTTTTCATTTTTTCTGAGACTTCTCAGCTTCCCAGGAGAAGAAACCCTGGTGAAGGGATTTTTTCAGAAAATGTGACAGTGACAGACCCACCTTTTTTTGCACCATGAGGTCCTTGGGGTCTCAGCTGAGCTCTGGCAAACTCAACGTGTTGGATTTTATCAGGAATGTGCCTCAGGACGGTTTGGATTTGTGTGAATCCATCAGGGAATGGCGGGGGTGATGGCAGAGCCAATCTCTGCCCTGTCCAGGTGCTAATTCAGGGCAGGGAGTCTGGACCAGGTGCAAGCTCACACTCCTTTAGTTCTTAAGGTTGTAGCTGTGTTTGCTTAAATTTATTTGGATGGGGGGAAAATGGGAGAATTTTCTGTGAAATAGGGGAAAAATATTGTGAATAGTCTCTGGCTTGTCCTAGGTGCTAATTCAGGGCAGGGAGTCTGGACCAGGTGCAAGCTTACACTCACACTCCTTTAATTCTTAAGCTTGTGGCTTAAAATTATTTGGATGGGGGAAAATTGGAGGATTTTCTATGAAATAGGGAAAGAAATGGGTACTGTGAATATTTTCAAACTGTTTCTGTGAGGGAAAGCCAATGGGGCAAACCCATGTGAGGAGCTCCCCATCATCTCCCCTCCGTGAGGGGAAGTTCAAGCTCATTTCACTCCTGGTTTCTGGCTCCTCTCTAACAGGTTTGCTCAGCTCACACTCATTTACTTTTTGTCTCGGTGCTCGTAGGTTCTTCACAGCTTTCCTCTGCCCACAGAACACCGAGCAGATTTCATTAGAATCATTAATTTGAGTGGTATTTCCTCACCTCACACTTCCTGCCCGAGCCATATTTTCTGGTTTGAGCTGAAGTTGAGGGTATCAGACTGATGAGATTACACGACACAAATCCAAGGAATTTGCTGGTAAATCCAAACCTTATTCAGGAAGAAAAAAAATTAGGAAATAAAAAAAGGGGTTTCATCTGTCTTGTTTCCCTGCTGACAGCTCCACTGCTGCCCTTTTCTCAGAGATTGCCACTTCTAGATGCTGGCAGAGAACAAAAGCTATTGTAGCTATTGTACCCTACCCTCACCAGCAGAGCATTTTGGCACCAGGAACCCTGGCCTGGCCTGGCAGCAGTGAATTTCAGCCTTGGCAAGGATGTTAGCTGCCAGTTCTTACCTGTCAAGTGACAGCTTGGCTTTGATGCTGCCTTTCTCTGAGCGAGCAGGGGGGATGGCGATGGCATTTTCCCCACAGAGATCTCTCACAGCATCAATGCCCTTTTAATCCTCTCCCAAAGCCATCACCCTCTGAACAGAAGTGACAGATCCAAGCCCATCTGCATTAACAAGAGCACAAATTCAGCTGGATTCAGGAGGGAAAGGCTGCAAAGCTCCCGGTGACAGCTTTGGTTTGGATGTGTTGGAGTGTGGCACGTTAAACTCACAGGTCCTTTTGGGGCAGAGCTTCTCCCAGAGCTCCGTGGGGAGCTGTGACTGCAGCCTGATCTGCCCTGAGAGTGAAATCTCATCTCCTCCCCACAAACCTGCTGTGACGGGAGAAAACCTTTGCTGACCTGTTGTAACAGCTCGGTGAAAAAGGAGCTTTGTGTGTGTGACATGGCCAGGAAAGCTGCTCCGGGATCAAGATTTCCAAATTCCCATCAGGCTGCAGGGATGCAACACTTCCAGCCACAGGGAGAAAGTGCTGGAAGGACAGGGCAGACCCTGTAATAATATATTTTATACTATACTATATAATATTTTATTATTCTTGAATGCTAAACTAAAAATATACTCAAGAATAGAGGTGTCCTGGGCTCAGGGAGATGCTCTGGGGACTAAAAGGGCCTCTGGACCCCTGTGGTATTTTCTGGGGTCCCCTCCTCCTTGGGGGAGGCTGCAAGCCCTGCCCTGTCACAAACCCATCAGGAAAGAGCTGATTTTCATAAAACTCTTGCTTTTCTGCCTTTTCTCCTTTTCTCAGGGAGCTTTTCTGATCCACAGCAGTAGCCAGAGGTGGTTCAGGGTCCCTCTCAGCCTAAAGGAGTTTGTTGAGATGTGTTTAATTGTGAAGAGCCTCCCAACCTGCCTCCCCTCCGTGCTCCTGCAAAGAGAAGCCAAAGGCAGCTCTGCTGTGCCATAAATGGTTATTTTCTTGTTGCCAGCCTGGCTTCTTTTAATGAAAGTGACTAAATAAATCATTAGAAATATTTTAATTAAAGGAACATGGTAAAGAACAGGCATTCACATCCTGGAGACAATCTTGCTCCCCAGGGTTGTATTAACTGATTTCTTTGAAACACTTCTGTTCCCTGCTTAGTTTTAACCAAGCTCATTTTAGCTCTGCCCATTCCTCTCTTCCTCTCCTTCCCTCTTTCCCTCTCCTCCTCTCTCTCCCTCCACCCAGTGAAGCCACAGGGACTTCCAGCTCATCAGCTTTGATGGAGAATTCACCAAATTTTGAGGTTGATCCAGCCAGGAAGCAAATTAAGAGACACTTAGATTCTCCAACTCGCTGCTGCTTTTGGGCAAGGAGAGGCAGGGCTTTTTGACATCCAATTTTTAATTCGTTTATGTAACGCACCAAACGCTTCTTTTCCTGATTTAGCTTAACCAGAGGAATTTTTTCCACAGCCATATGAGAGCTGCTCTGTCTGCTCACAGGATGCTCGATAAAGCACAGGCTCATTAATGTGCTGGTGATCTATAGATCTGACAAGGGCTGCCTTTGGTAAATGTCATCTTTTTATTTTTTATATACATATTTTTCCCCCCTTTCTTTGCCCCTCTAAAAAACACTGCAGAGTTGCAGCAGAGTGATTTGCTGTAAATCACGAGAACTTCATGGAGGGAAGGGAGTGAGGAGTGGCTGTGATTTAGGGATGGGGAAGGGGAATCTGCAGACCCTGACCCCATCCTAAGTGAGGCTGCTCAGTCTCCATTTAACCACAGGCCCTGCTGGTGCCCTGAGACAGAGCAGTGCAAGGGCTGGGGCTGTTAATTGGGATGTTGATGAGATACAGATGAGTTCCCTGCCAATAGCTCTGGGACCCTTCTCAGTCCCTGCCACATCAAACCTTTTTAATTTGGCAGCAGCTAATCAGCCTTGGTGGGGCTGGTTCCTCTTTAGCTGCTGCCCCAGGAACAGCCCAGAAACAGGTTCTGGATGGTTTCTGGATGGTTTCTGCCCCCAGAGACAGGTTCTGGATGGTTTCTGCCCCCAGGGACAGGTTCTGGATGGTTTTTGCCCCCAGAAACAGGTTCTGGATGGTTTTTGTCCCCAGGAACAGCCCAGAAACAGGTTCTGGAATTCAACTGTTTGGGTTTTTTTTAAAGTAGGAATGTTTCTAAGTGATTTGAGCTCTGGATGGTTTCTGCCC